AAATCTTTAAAAAAAAAAAAAAAAAGCTATAATGTAGACCTAACTATTGACTAACCAGCTTTGAAATTGAAGAATTAGTTATTTCCACCTACATGTGGACTTCTTCAGGGTCTAGGAGTTTCTCATGGGCAGTTAATAATCAGTTGATAATGGTCACAATAATCTGTTATTTAAAATCTAGAGGGTTTTTTGCATTAATTTTATATGCAGTTTTAATTCTCTTGCGAGTCCTAGACTTGGCAGATTTCCAGTGATGATTGAGGCCTCATCACTGTGCCTCCTCTGTTCCCCTGAGGTGGCCATGAGCCCACAGCAACTGACCTTGTAGTGAGTACACTGTCTGTTTAACCTGTGCTGTTTTCTCTTTCAGACGGGGAACCGGTGCTTTTAAATCCAGAGTGGGACTGCCTGCACCTGCTCCTGTTATCAATAGCAAATACGGACTCAGAGAGACAGATAAACGCTTAAATAGGCTTAAAAAGTTAGGTGACAGCAGCAAAAACTCAGACAGTCAATCTGTCAGCTCTAACACTGATGCAGATACCACTCAGGAAAAAAACAATGCAAGTAAGTAAGGGAGATTGATAAGCATCTATCTTCTTTTTTTATTATTATTTTTAAGTATTTTCACCCAGTTATCTTGCTAAAGTATGCTTCACTTCAGTAGTTTTGATCTTTTAAATATTGAGAGAAGCTCTGGGACTCATGTGCTTCAGCAGCACTGCAAGGTTCTAGAAACGATCTGAGCACAAAAGCAGTCTGTATCCCGCCTCCAGATTCAGTCCTGTCCTCTAGACTGAACTGTCTGCTTTTCTTGAATTCCTGGTAACTGGATATTACATTCTTCATCATGTGTTCCAGGGTCGTCCTGTGTTTGAGAGAAACATTTTCAAGGTATTAGTTTGACTGTCGTGATGGCGGTAGGTCCTACAGGAAGACGAAGGACTGGGTAGAGGCGTAGAGGCACGTACGTGTCCCTGCGCCGAGCCAGTCCGTTAGCACGCGTGATGCCAGCCTGGGCAGTTCATAGCTCTGGCCTCAAGGCTTCCACCTTTTTACCGCTTGCTTGCCCTTTTCAAACTGAACTGAGCCCGTTCACCAAACCACCAGTTACCAGACTCAGAGTTGTGATAGAGGAGCATTTCGAAGGTCGCTCATACTGTGACGTGGTGCATTAGCCACCACTGAAAGCAGCAAGAGAGGTGAAAAGAAGAAGCCAGCATTAAGATACCAGTTGTGCGTGGGGGCAAGACCGTATGGAAACTGGAAACAGAGAGAATGGAGCATAAAGAGGAAAGAAAGCGAAGCAAGCCTAGCCGGGCAAAAGGAAACGCGTCATGTTTGTGGAGCTTTGAAGTCCTGGGACCATGCTCATGGCTGCCGGTTTCTTCTGGGTAACACCAGTTTCCTCTCATTGCCACTAAAGCTGTAGGCTCTTTAGTCTGACTTGTTTCTGACAGGAATAAAGTTTCAAAGTTTTGACTCGGTGATCCCTAGGGACGCCCGTTTCAGCACGCCAGGTGGCCGTAGGTACTTGGCTGAGCCTTCTGAAGTTGGGTTGTTTGAGGCTCCTCTCCCTACCTTCAGACGTTTGCAGCCCAGCACGGTGCACCCCTCCCCTGCAGAAAACCCTGGAGAGAAGGGAAGGCCTCTCCCATGATGGTGACTGTCACTGCCGTGAATTCCTGCATCCACCTGCTGCTGGACGGTCAGAGGCCAGGTGCAGCCCCGTAGTAGAAGAGCAGTGCTGTGTTCCTTGTCCAGTCTCTCATGTCCCAAGTGAGCAGAAAGAGCGCAGTTAGCCCGTCATTCACTGTTGACTGTTGGTTCTAATAATAAATGGAACATAATCAACGTTTTGTTTTCGGAGTCTGGTTCCTTGGTGAAACTGGAGACTTGTGAAGCCCGGTTTAGAAATATGTGCATGAAACACTACAGAGCACGGACACGGCCACCACGCTGCCCACACCGGATGGCTCTGACACGGGGGGCATTAACTCCATTCCTACTGTATACATACCGAGTTCAGTACACCATGGAGGCTAAAAGAGCATAATGTGTAGGTAGTTTGTGAGAGTGTACTGACTACTGTGTGACCATCTAGGGAATATTTCTTAGTAAACCAAATACTTAAAGCCTGCTAGTTGTTGGAGAGATACAAGATGGATGAGACTCAGGCCCGTCCCTCAGGCAGCTTACGCCTTAGTGCCGGGATCCGACAAGTACAGAGTTACGCAGAGCAGACTATAAATGCCATTGCTCAGGTTCAGAGCGAACCAGTAATCCCTTTGAGCTGTGGTCTCAGCATCACTGAGCAGACATGCAGCACTTCCCAGTGATGACTGATGGGAGGGGGCTGACTTTGTTCAAATTACCTTTCTGCAGGATTATGGTTTTGAGGACTTGGAGGGTCGATGGAGCTAACTTTGAGGGCCGTGTGTAGAGTTGACAGATGCGGCTCTGTGCTCTGGAGGAGCAAGAGGCTTCTCACCCGTCCTCTCTGAGACCGCCCTAGACGAGGTCCCCTTCATAGCACTGCTCTTGCAGGCCCCCACAGGTATTCTTTCAGATGGGATTTCTTTTGGTGTCTGTGTCTGGACCATAACCTACCTGTTTGAAAGAAAGACTCTTTGAGATCGCAGCTGGTAGCAAAGCCAGGGCTGTCCGGGCGTCTCCCAGAGGGGGCGGCGTGGTCGCGTCTGGATCCGGGGTGCTTTCTCCGTGCGTAGCTGCCATCCTTACCCTGCCGTGCGTTTAGAATTCAGGGGGCAGAGACTGCTTGCTTTGAACAGCTTGTATGTTCTCTTCTAAAGAAACATTTCTGCCTGGTTGGGAGAAAAATTATTTCTTCACAGATTTCTTTTCTGAAAGGTGTCTCAGGAGCCCCAAGTTGACTGTTGGCTTTAGCATCTGGAAAGAGAAGACAAGAGATCATTTTCACAAATTCAGTCCACAAGCCTGAATTATAATGCCGTTATGAGAAGATTGTGGTGTTTTAGGCCTCTGGTGCCTCAGTGGCTGGGCCACCCCCCCCCCATAGTCGGTGCTGTGATACGGGGTGTGAGTCATGCCAATGCCACAGATTGTTGTGAGATCCAGAAGACAAGGCCGGTGGAATAAGTTTATCTTAACTCCGGAGTGCCTATCCTAGAGATAGTGAACTGGGTCACCCACTTGTCACTGGGAGCTGTGTCAGACCTCACTGTTGATCTGAACACTCCTTGCTGCTGGGCCTATAGGCTACTCCAGAGTCCTTTCCAACACCCTGTTGCAGGCAGCCACTGCCGGTCTGTGCTGGTCACGTCAGATGGAAGATGCTTGTTGTGCCTGCCAAACTTGAACTGAACTCTAAAGTCCTACTCAGGGTTTTCTGGATCTTCACGCTCTGAAGATGCCAGGCTGTGGATGGCCTTCATGTTCCCTTGGTTCACGTTGATAGTGTGCATTTCTGGGGCTTTTCCAGTACAGAACCCAGCCTGAGTGTGCGGGGAGCTTTGCTGTTGTTTTGCTGTTCTTGTACCTGCTGTAATTCTCAAGGCCCACGCAGGGCTGCCTTGTGATTCGGAGGACACCATGAGATGGCAGTGAGGGCCGTGCCGTGTGGGTCCTGTACCCCCGGGGGCGGAGACCCACACTGTGACTCTGTGGCATACTTAGTACAGTGGATCTGGAGCCACGGATCTCACTCAGTCCAAATCCCCCATCTCCTGCCCTTACCGGTGGACGATCTTAGGCGCGCTTATCCATACGCGCTTGGTTGTCACATGGATTTAGTAGCACTACAAAGGATGCGTGTTAGGATTGAGATCATACTGATTGGGCCATTTTGCACAGCACCAGTATATAATAATTGCTAAGAATGTGTATCTCCACCTAAAAATACTGTCTTAGGTTTACGCCGCCAGGCAGGAGAGTTGCCCATGGTGTAGCAGCCTGGAGGCCAGAGTGGCCACAGGTGTCCTGGTCTCCACTGAGTCAGAATCCTCAGTCTCTGGACAGACTTCCATTAGTTTGCAGCGTGGCTCCTGTCTTCCTCCTTAAGCCTACCGTCACTATCCTCCTGAACCCCGGAGGACAGTGTAGACCCGTCTGGGAGAGTAGAGCCCTTGGCGCCCATGGGGCTCCCATCTTAGTCACATTGCTCACATTTCTCTTGCCCAGTTTGTCTCAGTCTTTTCTGACCTTTGACTTGAGCATACCTCTTAGCTGGGCTTTTTTTGAGATACTGTTTTTAAAACAAAAGACTAGACTGACCAATACATGAACATATGTAAGTGAGATCTCTGTGTCGAAAGAATACATAGCATCGAATACAGTCTATTTTGTGCAGTTTAGAACACAAACACAAGTGCTTTGTCAGTCGTTCACTGCAGTTGGCTAGCAAGGAATCCATTGGAAGCAGGGGTGGATTCAGAATCCCCATAAAGTGAGACTCAACCTGATGGATTTAAAATATGAGCCGGAGTAAGGATAATCTCAGGTGCTCTGAAAATACAGAGGAAAGGAGACCTGTCATTTGTAGGAAGTCATGAAAGGCTCCCTGAGCGAAGCATTTCCTAAGCGGAGTCTTAAAGGGGGTAAGAGGTTGGGCAAGTGAAGCATGTTCAGAGCAGAGGGAATTCATGAATGGAGAAACGGAGACGAGCGTAGGACTCGAATAAGGAAAGTGTGTCATGCATGGCTAGAGTAGGGGGTGGGAAGGAGGGATATGACCACTGTTTAAAATTTTGGATTTATTCTTAGGGCATTAGGTTATTGAAAGTTTTGAAGCCCAGCAGTGACATGTTGTACTAGGAAATTCACTCCGGCCACAGGGTAGAGAACGGGATGTTGGGGAAGCAATGGGAGGGGTGAGGAAAGGAAGGGAGGGAGTCGAGTTGTTGCCACGACTCAGGCAGGGGACTGTGAAGCGAGAGAAGGAGATGGCTGCAGGGGCGCCGCAGGAATGGGCTCCACGGGACATGTGGCCGACTGGGTGAGGCAGTTAGGGAAAGGCCGGGATGACCTCCCGCTGTCTGCTTGGGCAGCTAGCTGGGTGGATGGTGGTGGTACTGAGCAGGATGGAGAATTTAGGAGGAGGACAGCCGTGAAGCTTGATGGTGAGTTCAGTTTGGGCACGTTGACTGTGATGAGGAGTCCATCCTCAGGGGAAGATCTAGATGCCAGCGGGCATTTGGTGATTCGGATCTGTAATCTAGGAGGGAGGCTAGATAAAGTGGCTCGGGAGCTGCCAGTGCATCAGTGGTAAGAGCCATGCGGGGGGGCGGGGGTGGGTGCCTGTCACCCATAGAATGTGTAGTTTCCAAAGGGTCTAGGACAGCAGAGGCCTGAGGAGCGCAGTCGAAGGGGCAGATGGGAGGGCAGGAGAGAGTGCCCCTGTGGGCAGCCAATGGGACAGGAGTTTTCAGGAAGAAAAATGGTTAGCAGTGTCACATTATGCAGAGAAAGGAAGAGGGAGAAGGGCTAGAGAGTGCCTGCTGGATTTCATGACAAGGTCTTCCAAGATTGGCAAAGGCCGTCTCATTAGAGGGACAAGCCGGATCCAAATTGCAGCGGGATTGCTGTCCAGCATGTGGTGTGTATGTTTTCGTTGTGAAGGGGCAGTTGCAGGTACAGAATGAGAACAGGATGGCAAAAGGCAAAGGACGGCTGAGAACCACTGATTTTGGTCATAGACTGGTCCTCAAGGAGCCTGGTCTGAGCCAAAGGACTTCACAGCCACATTTGAGAAAGCCAAGTGCATTTACATCAACAAGCACATCTATTCAGTCTACCTTGTAGGAAGCCTTGTGAGCATGAAGAAATCCTTTAACAAAAGAATGCCCTGTGCAGCCTTGTATTTAAAAAAATAATTTCCAGCTAGTTCTGTATAATTCCAATTCATGCTACATCAGTTGTTCTCCAATTGAACGGTATCCAAACCACGGCTCCTACTATTCTAAAAATAAGTGGCTGCCTTGGGGTGGTAGCCCACATGGATAAGCACATTCTTGGTCCGATCAGGGGATCTCACTCCTGGGAACTGTGTTGGTTTGGGTTCCCCAAAGCCATTTATGAGACACCCTTTTTGAGTATAGAGCTTTCTATTCTTGGTGGTTTGATATTTTTGGAATGCTTGTAATGCATTCTTGCTCTTCTCTCAGTGAAAACTAACTAATGGTAACTTACTTGCTTAGCCATGCAGAAGGAACAACAGTCGCCCTGGCAGCCCTTGGGCATGTCGGCGGCAGCAGTCTTTGTCGGGCAGTGTGCTCGGTTTACCCATAGTCGCTTTTTACTCTCCCTGTTTTCTGAGAGAAGTGGGGAGTATCAGTTTGGTCATCTCAGCTTCCCTAGTGAATGACTGAAAGGGCTAGTTTGATGGGGAAGAGGTTTTCAGGTGGGAGCCGGGAAGACTAAGTAATTGAGAAATGGATTCCTGTAAAACACTCTACATACAGGTCCCAAATGTCAATGGAGAGAAAAACATAAAGACAACAGAAAGCCCCTGGTAAGGTCATGCTCACTGTGGAAGCAGCTTAAACTTGAGTCACCTGTAAGCCTTTTGAGACTCTGGTCAGCGGTCCTGTTGGTCCTCAGGTTGGCCGTTCCCTGTGGGGTCATCATAGCCTTTCTGTATGCTCGTCCTGAGGGAGTTGGGTCCCCCTTTGTCCCGAGAGTGTAACTCCAGCAGCATGCTTCTTCCCGCCTCAGTTTGATTGTTGGCAGCAGGTGGTCCCTGGAGGGACGGGGCCAAGTAAGTTCTGCCGCCCTTGGAAGTCTGCTGGTCCTCACGGAGTGGGAGCAAGAACTTTGTGGAGTGCGGTTCGTTGTGGAATTAACAATATATGGTTCTTTGGGTCTCTCTGGCTTGTTTGAAGCCATTGTGATAGAGTGTCTGTTAGAGCTCGTTAATAATATATTTCTGTTCTGTATTACTGGTCAAGTAATATACTTCCTTTGAGTTAATGAGTAATGGGTTTTAGAAACCTATTTTGAATGATGATGTTAAGAATTTGTGAAAGAAAAATCTGATTTTTCCTCAAGTTTACTTCAAATCTTCTATGTGATAAGAGATTCGGGAAAAGAAATACTGTGGACAAGTATCGCGGTAGATTATGGACGAGCTCAGAGTGGAGTCCAGGTCCTTGCTGTGGGAAACGCATAGATGCTCCATAAATCGGAGGCAGCAGTTGGGAAGTTACAGGAGGGTGGTGTGGGGTGCCCGTGTGCCGGCCGAGACCCAGCGGGGTCCATCTTGCACGTGCGGGTATAATGCGAACCTTTCATAGCTGACAGGTTTGGGCATCGTTGTGTTGAGCACTCCTGTGTTACCAAGGCTGGTTTTCATCCCCTTTTTTTTTTTTCTCCTTAATTGCAGCTCCTAACCGAAAATCTTCAGTTGGTGTGAAAAAGAACAGCAAGAGCAGAACACTGACAAGGCAATCTATGTCAAGAATTCCAGCTTCTTCCAACTCTACCTCATCTAAGCTAACTCATATAAATAATTCCAGGGTACCAAAGAAACTGAAAAAGCCTGCAAAGCCTTTACTTTCCAAGATAAAATTAAGAAATCATTGCAAACGGCTGGAGCAAAAGAGTGCTTCGAGAAAACTCGAGATGGGAAGCTTAGTACTCAAAGAGCCCAAAGTAGTTCTGTATAAAAACTTACCCATTAAAAAAGAGAAGGAGCCCGAGGGACCAGTTCAAGCCGCGGCAGCCAGCGGGTGCTTAACGAGACACGCGGCGCGGGAGCACCGAGCGGGCTCCGGGCGAGGCCCGTCGCCGGCGGACGGCG